TCAAGAGTGGAGTCACTCTCAAAAATGGAAGTTTCCTTCTCCCTCATGAGACAGTCTGGGTGTGTGATCTGGGTTGGCAGGTGTCACCTGTTACGTGGTCCTTCAGAAACCCAGGCAGACAGCTGCTCTGTCACCTTCCAGTCATCACTGGCTCGCTGCCATCCAGCCGGCAGAGAGGGGAGGGAAAGAACACAGACGAGCTGTGGTCTGGGCTTGAGAGATGCTCTTCAAGGAGCACAATGCACTTGTGTTCCTATTCTGCTGGCTGGAACCTGGTCCCATTGTCATACCTCACCGCAAAGGGATCAGGAAAATGGAGACCAGCCATGTGCTTAGGAAAAACAGGAGAAGGGGTTTGCTGGACAGCTTCTGACACACATGTGGAGTCACAGAAAGAGGACCAGGAACCTCGTCCTCCCTAGATAGAGTCCTCGGTGCATAGTTCAAATGTGCTTGCCCCTCACCGGCCACCTTCAAGTCTCTGCTGAAAACCCTTCAATAACTTACTATTAATATATTCAGGACAAAGATAAAACTCTTTATCCCAACATAATCTAATATCCTTTAACCCAGGGGTCTCCAACACCTGGTGGTCTGTGACCTGTTAGGAACCAGTCCACACAGCAGAAGGTGAGCAGCGGGCTAGTGAGCAAAGCCTCATCTGTATTTACAGCCGCTCTGTATCACTGGCATTGCCACCTGGGCTTCAGCCTCCTGGCATATCAGCGGTGGCATTAGATTCTCATAGGAGCATGAACTGTGAACTGTACATGCGAAGGATCTAGGTTGTGTGCTTCTTATGAGAATCATCTCAAAACCATCCCCGCCTCCTCCCGACCCCTCAACCATGGAAAAATTGTCTTCCACGAAACTGGTTTCTGGTACCAAAAAGGTTGGGAACTGCTACTTTAATCTATTAATTTCCAATTTTGGAAAATGCCCCTTCTTCCTTTCAAGGCTCCAGTCACACAGGCCCCATTTCACATCCTCTTATTTCCTATATTCTCTTTTCCCAGGGATTTTGCACTTGCTGTGCCCTTTGCCTAAAAACTCTTCTCTCCCTTCTTTGCCTAATTTGTGCCTACTCATCCTTTCAACGTGATTCTCCCAGGGGAACTTGCCTGGATTGTTCAAATTCCTCTAAATCAGCTCTCATTGTAGACTATACTGTTTCCCCCCACAGTACCCATTACAGTTATTCTTTTATAATTGTTTGTGTGATTGATTAAAATCCACCTCTTACACTAGACTATAAACTCCATGAGGTCAGTGAATATGTCGGTTTTTGTTTATGAATGTTTAGCATAGCTTCTTACAGAAGACACTCAGTAAATATTTGTTGAATATCAGGATATTTGAATAAATGAATGAACGATTGCATGGGTGAAGATCTGGATTCTAGTTTGGGCCCTGCCACAAATTAGCCATGTGATCACAGAGTTTTTACTATTTGGGGCCTCAGTTTCTTTGTCTGCAAAGAACAGAACTACATGATGTTTAAAACTTTCAGCACAATGGTCCTATGGTCCTACTATTTTAAAACTGAATCCTGTGGGTCATTATGTTTGTTCCAATCACTCCAAACAATCAGCTATGTTTCCTAAGCAGATGTTACAAGTTCTGTATCTGGCAAGTAGAGTAAAAACATATTTTATTCTTTTGTCTTGAATTTTTGATGATTATAAATTCAGTGCAAACTTTAACTTTATCCTAATCCATGAAGTTCAATCATAGCTGAAAAGGGGATTGGATAATGTTAATAAAAAATACTAGCACCAATGATTATACAGAAAAAGATAAGGAAATAAAACCTATAAATATGTTATTAGTCACTGTAAGGGATTAATTCTGGTTTGGGACTGGAAAATGAGTATCATGTTACTTTTATTCTATTTGAATTTGCACCTTGGCTTTATGAAAGTCATGTTTTGACAGTGCCTTAATATAAATGTTCATTGGTATAAGAACAAGGGCTTTTATCCTCCTTTTGATTTTGAGATTGATATTCAATAAAAATATTAATATTGAGGCTATATTAACCCTTTTTAGATGATAGGATGACAAGTGACCATTATCAAGCTTGATTTCAAGTTGCTGGATAGCATCAATTCCATGAACTCCGTAAAGTCAAGGACCTTATCTGTCTTATTTCATCCTAATACCTAGAAAGTGCCCTGAGTAAATAACAAATTAGATTTAAAAAAAGAAACACCAAATGACCGTTGGAGACATCTGAACTCAACATTCCCTGAAGCTAAAAGTTAAATAACACAAAATTCTGGCAGCTCCGACAAAAATGTGATGAATTGATCTCTGTTGTTGGTAGTTCCATGAACAAGAGAAAGACTGTAAGAACCAAAGAAAATTTTCATATTCTGTCTTAATTTTGAAATTTGAATTCCAACAAGATGGTATTATTTTGATTTAGATTCCTTTTTGTTTAGGAAACCTAAACTAACAGTTATTTTGGCTGCTACAAAGAGGTCCTGACTCCTCTTATTTAACAAACCAATGTCCAGGAAAGAAAAGATTTTGGTGTCCAGAGGAGGGACATCTTCTTGAGACCCTGAAACTTGAGATATCATAAGTATTTCTCCTATGCAATTGTTGAGAAAAGTAGCACGTTTCTTCTCTAGGGGAACTGAAGCATAATGAAATGCAATCTAAGAACATGCAAACTTATTATCTACCAGGATGGTTGAATGGTTCCAATCAAATGGAAGAGAGAAATAAGGGCTTTATATTCGGATTTTGGAAAAATGACTCCACAGCTATATTTAGGTGCAACAGTGCCTGCAAATACCTGAAAGAGTGGCAGTCTGTGACTTGCTTGTATCATCATGAGTATATTTTCTATTTGAAACTTTCTGTTAGGGTGAGGACAAAATCACCGCAAATTATTCCTGCAAATGGAGAAAAGCTATCTCACTGTGGATGGTAAGAACAAGGCTGCTACGTGTCTATGTGAGAGGTTGTGACTGTTATTCAGATGGCTCCTCAGAGGGCTGCCTTTGTGCCAAAGACTGCGAAGAGTAGGTGGACCCTGTTTCTAAAAAGTAAAAAATATTATTTATTTCTCCCACTCTTAGCAACTGCTAAGAAGTGGAGCTATAGCTTTTATGAGAATTCACTCTTTTCCATGCCTCCATGTATAGAAGTCCTGGCATCTGGGAGATGACCTTTTAAAAATATGAATCTGATGTCACTGACTACTTAAAACTTATCAACAAGTAACCCATTGCTTTTAGGGTAAAAATAAAAATCTGTACTGTGGGGCTACAGTTCCCTTAGAGAGCTCTGGCTATGACCAGTTGTACAGCCTCCTCTGCAGCTCAGGGACTTTGCACATGCTTTTCTCTCTCTCTGCCTGAAATCCATCTTCTTCCACCTTATGTGAAGTTGAATCCTACCTCTCACAATCCTATCTCTTGTGTCTCAAGCGGCAAAACATGTGAGAAGTTTCCTTGATCTCCCAGACTAGATCAAGTTCTTTTTTTCAATATGCTCATAATTTCTTGAAACCTGTCTTTATCATAGTCAGCATTGGCTGTCTCCCTTTCCTAGATGGTGATGGACAGGGAGGCCTGGCATGCTGCAGTCCATGGGGTCTTGAAGAGTCAGACAATGACTGAGCGACTGAACTGAACTGAACTCTCCTAGATTATTAGGACACAGGCCCTGTCTGTTTGTCTCACTACTAAATGCCTGGGCATGTAGTAGGTACTCAATGAACATACAGCATGTACATAAATGAACAAATGGAGCTGGGTCATGCATTCCATCCCTGCATACATTTTCTAAATACTTAATATGCTTACAATACAAATAAGTTTGTTCCCTTATTATAACTAAAACCCCAAATGGTCAGTTTTCCCTTTGTTTCATATCGACTATGAGATAGCTGGATGAAGGTAAGGTTAAGTATATGGGCTTTGTAATCACACAAGCCTAAGTTCAAAACCTGGTTCAACCATTACTGGCTGTGTAATCACTGGAAAGTTACTTAAATTTTTTTCTCTGCTCCAGTTTCCTCATCTGCAAAACAGGTCATACCTGGATTTCAAGCCCCGATCTGTCAGTTGTCAATTGTGCAATTCGGTTCAAGTTAGTCATCTCTCTAAGCTTCAGGCTCCTTAACTATACAATTAGGCTAGTAATATCTGTCNAGCCCACCAGGCTCCTCTGTCCATGGGATTTCCCAGGCAAGAATATGGAGTGGGTTACCATTTCCTTCTCCAAGCAAAAGCACTGAAAACAATACAAAGTCCATTAATAGAAATAGTTAAAAAGTTATGGAATTTCTAAAATGAAATACTCAATACGTAGTCATTAAAAAGTGTGTGCTCAGTCACATCCAACTCTACAAACCCCATGGGCTGTCACTAAAAAATACTGCTAGAGAATTATCTTAAGATACATTATTTCACAAAAAAAGCAATGTAAAGAACAATGCAAACTCTGTGTGTGTGTTTTTAAAGAAGACCACTCTATACAAGTATCCAGTTGTTTAAATGGGCAAAAAATATTTTCCCATGGACTTACTGAAAGCTGTGGTTGCCTCATGGGAAAAGAAATGAAGGTACCTAGCCAGGGTGAAATTTATTTTTCATTGTCCACACTGTTTTATTCCTTTTTTTGGTAATAGCGTGCATATATTGCTTTACTGATTCAAAATTAATTTAGAAGAGTAGAGACTGTGAATTAAAATTTGTAGTTACTGCTACTACAATTGCTCTTTCTCCTATTATTAGATGTTACAGTCAGGCTATTGCAGGGATCCCTGGGCTGGTCCAACACTAAAGACATAAGAAAACAGGGTGACAAGTTAGTTACCACGGGGGGATGTACTGATCCACATGTTCCAGTGGAGAGACAGAGAAGGCTGGGAAGTCTGGCAAAGTGGTTGCCCCAAACAACTGGACAGTAGGTATCAGGGATGGGCAGTGGGTTTTGGGTTATCCTAAGAGGTAAACAGAAACCAAACCTTAAAAAAAAAATCCTTTAATGTGAATTTATTGAGTTATCAGAACAATCGCAAAAAATAAGTATTACCTTCACTTAACGGATGACCAATTAGAGGGTGAGCAGCCTGTCCAAAGTCACACATCAGACCCTGGGAGTCTTACTCCAGAGGCTGGCTTTCAGTGTTCATATAGTGTATTGTTTTTGTGTAGTTTTTAGGGATCCAACTGCTTATTTTTTATTCAGTTTTGAACTCTTTGTACCTTTGCTCAAAATCAGCACTCTTTATTAGAAATGGAGGTCCACTGTTGTGCCAATGGTTGCATTTGAAGCTGTATGGGTATTTTAAGAAGCTCCTTTATTTCCTATTTGTGGTTTCTCTAGTTTCACCTCTGTTTTCCCTGGAAAAAAGACGGATTGATGAAATTAAGACTTGTGAGCCTTTCTAGTGATCTCTGATGGCCATCAGCATTTTCAGTTAGGAAGGACAGCTCAAGAAACCTTAGCTCATTCAGGCCTTCCAGACTCAGAACTGCATGAACAATAAAACACAGTTTCATCTTAAGGACTTCTCTTACTTTGCTGATCAGTGTAGTTAAAAAGACCAAATGCTTCCAGATCTGTCTCTGCCCTAAATGAATATATTTTGGGCAGTCCCCTTGGTACTGATGCAGTAAGCAAGGTTATAGCCCAAGCTCAGAGCACGGACAGAACATATTCGACCAAGCGCCACCCAGATGCAAGTACATTTGGTTCCAATATAAACTGGAAACTTCTTGAAGAAATGGTCCCCTCCTTGCAATGCTCTACATTCTAGAACACTCTGAAGTCTCAGAAATTGGGAAAGGGCTGAGGTAGTAGTCAATTTAATTTGCCAAACTAGGGACAATCAGTTGGCAAATGGATATTTACTTTTGAAATTATATTTTTAATAATGGTATTTAAAGGCTTGAGATGTTTCCAATCATTCTACTGCAATATAATGGTTAATTTTAAGAGCTCTGTGAGTTTGATTTGTATTTAAGATTTTTACAATCTATATATAGGTTGGCCTTTAATAACCATTTATACATTGCTTCTTTTTATATAGGTCATGTATTCTCCCGGGAGAGTAACAAGATTAGAAATAACAAATACAGTACAGAATAAATTAAAGTGCTTCAAACTGCATTATATAATTTCAGAAAATTGGTTTCACACTGAAACATTTAAATAAGAAAACCAACTGATTTAAGGAGGAAAAAAAAAAAACCTAGTACATGCATTTGAATTGCTATTGTTTAGCAAATTTTACCCTCAGCAGTATGGTGGTGGTCTGTGTTCACAAGGCTTCAGCAATGTGGCAGTTCATTTGGGTCAATATGGATAAAATCACTCTTCTTCTTTATTTTAAAATGTTGACTTCATTCTCCTTGAAGATGAATAACTTTACTAGTCAAAATGTTAAAAGAGTATTATAAAAGTAATTGTATTTTTATATATGGTTCTCCAAACTCTTATATAAAAATGTTCTTATTACACACAGTGCAATAAATTCAGAGGTTGTTATGGGACAGGAGATAGAGAAATTGGGGCCAATACTTTTCTAATTAGTTAGGATAATAAAAAGTGGGGCTTAGTTTTCCTCGCTCAACTAAATGAAGGAGATCTGGTGCTCTAGAGAGTCTATGATTCCAGCCGGTTTTTTTTGTTTTGTTAAGTTTTAGTATCACTCCCGATTCGGAGTCCTCAGGCCTTTTTCAGTTTTTCTATTCGTGCATTAAAGGCCTCTTCCTGCATTTGCAGCTTTTCGTTTATCTCGGTCTGTGAAGACAATCATAAAAAAGTGGTTATGATGGAGCTATCTTTTGCTGCACATTGTCTTTGTGGTTTTGACATACTATAGTGCCTAAAGACAGACATTATCCCTCACACACTTTCCTGTTTTGCAGACATAGCTGTGTTTCAGCCTGTAGTGATGTGATAACACTTTATCATATTTCTCTGCACAATCCCAATGTATAGCATGTCTGCTATGAACAGGAAGTGGTATTTGGACAGCATTTTTCACATAGGCTTGTGTTGGAAGATAGGCTAATTTGTCTGCATTTTCAGACAGACTTCACCAACAAGCGCCGAATCAGAGTGACTGCTCTCGGCCCAGTTACTGCAGTGTTGTTGGTTCTGCGCCCCGCTGCAATGGATGTTTTTGTCTCTGTGTAATACATTCTAATTGGGATCCCAGAAAGCTTCTGTTGTGAAATCATAACACAAATAATCTCACAACTAGAATGATTCTCATAATTAAAGAGTATTTGCCACATATACAACTCTTGAAATTATGCCCTTTGTGATACAGTTTTGGTATAAAAAAGTAAGCAGCGGCTGGCAGGTTTTCGTGTTTGCTGTGGCTGTGATAGCGTTTAGCCTCTGGCAGCGATATTCTGTGGACTAACATTGCTACCTGCGCAATTCCAAAAATATTTTCACATTAGCTGAACATTTGTAGCCCTGGAAATGTCTTCCTTTTTTCATGGTGGATTTTAAAATTATGTATAGAGAAACCAGTGGCATGGTAAAACTGGGGCCTTTGTTTAGGTGATTTAAAATAGTCAACAAGCATATGACGAATAGTTCATACACATAAATGTTAATAAATAATTAGAAATGTAGAATTTTAATGTCTATGACCTAATTTAAGGTCATCAGGGTAACTATTTTAAAAAACATTTAAATTTATATAGAAGAAATTTAAAAAATCAAATACTGATTTTGGTCCAAATATAACTTCATTGTTATTTATTTATTTATAAGTGTAATTATAACAGCTAGTTTTGAAAGGTCCACCTGCTTGCCTTATCTGATGAGATACTGTTTCACTTTCACAGTAAAGAGCAACTATTTCTGAAAAGATCACATTGGTGCCAATAATTCCGGGTTCTCGCACGAGCATGTCTTTTTTGGCTCAAGTTTTATCAAGTCCTGGGGTCAAGTCTGCCCTCTGGCTTTTCCTCTTTTCCTTTCTTGGTGCTAAGTGAAGGAGGCAATGAGGGATGAGCATGGCTGTCCAGGTTACAAAAGAAATGTCTTATTTTTAGGAACCTATAATTCCCATCAGGCATAATTTTGGGAGAGCTGAAAGGAGGAAGGGTCTAGGAATGCAGAGACCTAGGGATTAGTTTAGCTCCACAGCTTTGGGCAGGCCACTTAACCACCTTTAGGTCTCATCGAAAAATTAAGTAGTTTAAAATTAAGTATGTTAAATTTCATGTATGTTGGCTTTTAAATTCATAATTCCAAGTGTGTTAACTTTTAAATTCATAATTCTAACTCCCAATTCTGTGATATATTCACTGATGTTATACTATTTCATTATCATGGTATTATGCTATATTTTAAAAAAATATTACTTCTATTTCTTTATGGCAGGCTATATATTATATCATACAGGGCATGAAATAGTTTGAAGAAATGATTCTGTTACAGTTCCAAAGGATTGGGAAGCACTGGTCTAACTAGACAATTGACTCTTCCCACTTTCAATTAAATGTATTTTAGGTCCACCAATAATCTCATTTCTTTTTAACTAAGGAACTGATGTATTATTAGCTTCCAGCTTCTGTTTCCTTATCTCATCAGGGTTTTCACATTAACCTGGAGGTCTTTCGGTATTTCACTGAGATAGAATTGGCTGCCAGCAAGTGAGGGCTCTGGGGAAAGGCTCCTGAAGGTCAGGAGCATGCCTGCTAGAGCTGTGCTGACCGAGGGACACATCTCAGATCTCCAGACCATGGTGATCAGTACTTTGGACACTGGACGACAAGATCCCCCATATGGTTGAGAACAGGTTGTCCTTGGTCTACAGTGTCTCTATGTTAATCCTCAGAACACTGATGACCAAATGGGCTATATACAAGCCCCAGGATAGGGTATGGTTCTATTGGCTTTGGAAAGAATGGAAAATCCATGACCTGGGTCTAACAGCCTCTCAGTGATCACTTCTTGACGTGATTTCCCACTCAGATTTTCTAACCTGGGAAGTTGACCTAAAAATACCTATGGTCCCAAGATGGCAAACTTCTCTTAAGGTTTTCACATTATTTTACTCTACTGCTTAAGATAGGGCCAACAGCCAACATTTAATGAAAGAATTTAGTGCTAGCATTCATATTTCTCTGAAATATGAATGCAAGAATTTAGTGCTAGCACTCATATTTCTCTGAAATATAATTCTTTAAATATATTAAAGTTTGCTCCATTGGGTATAATTTTTATTATATAACTCAGGGCCAAACTAATTTCATTTTAAATGTATCTTTAAAATTAAAATACCTAGGCTATATAAGCTTAAAATGTTTGCTCTATTCAGTATAATTTTAATTAACATCTCAAGGCCAAGATAACTTCATTCTTAATAAATTTCTGAAGCTATAAAGTGAGTCAATGGGAAAGTAAGTAGATTAACATAAAAAATTTAAGGATTCACACTATTTTCAGAAATTTCTGAATTACAGAAAGTGAAATATGCTTGTAACTACAATGGAGAATGAGCTCTGAGAAAAACTGTACTCAAAACATGAATTCACTACTGCCTTTTCCTACAAAAATTATAATAGACTATGATTTTTACCATTTTATATTTTTGAGTATGATTTTTAGATAAAGAAGGAGAAAAACTATTGGAAAATTTAAAGTATCTTACAAATAATAATTCATTAAATGTTCCTACAGCAAGTCACTGGTTTATATGCACTGATAAGTGGCTATCTTTGAACAGGGATGAGACATTTTAAGAATGAAGAACACTGGAAGGCAGGTTTTAGAAGTGGAAAATAACTTAGCCATTTAAAACAGGGAGAAATTTAGGTAGTCAGAGAGTAATTACCCGACTTGGAATTTGACCAAGACACAACAGTAAACACTGAAAAAGTGCCACACCACTGGCCTATTAAAAACCAAAGTAGTCTGGTTGTGATATTAGAGGTTATGTGGTTTTTGTGGATAACACTGGAATTAGAACTAGAACCCAGTTCACAGCTCCCAATCAGGGTCTTTCATCAACTTCTGACCCTGAAAACCCTGGACCAATGACTTAATATTTCTGTTTCTCTCAGTTTTCAATTTACTTATTAGAGAAATGCCTGCCTAATTCAAATGGAGTTTACTAGGATTATTGAGAGAAAATATATAAAGGGGTTTGCTATCTTGAGACACTGTATAAATAAACATCATCAAGCCATTTTATTGAAAAACTGGCAATAATTTGGCTCAGGCTAATGTCCATGAATCTACTTAATATGGAAATGATCAAGGCACCTGAAAAATCTGCATCCCTTACCTCTGGTCCTTTCTATGCCTAATTCTCGACCAGATAGGGGATCTTGTCGTCCAGTGTCCAAAGTTCTTTCTATGCCTGATTACATTTAGATGAGCCAGCTAATGGACTTCCAGGCCCAGTAAGGATAGCTACAGGCCAGTGGGACAACACTTACACATAGAACCATCATATTCCTTCTGCTATACCCTTCTGCATATACCCTTCTGCTATAAGGGTAGTGATATAAATGCTACAGACTCTTAATATTAAAAATATTTCAATGAATATTTAAAAAACATACTGCTCACTACATGGAACATGGCCTCAGTAAAGATGTTTTCAATTTTGAGGGCCTGCAAACAATTTTATTACTGTCTAGGGCCTTGGTGATAATTTCAGAGCCACTGGATCACAAAGGAGCCCAGGGCCATGATTATCCATAAACTATATTTAGATGAAATGTTATCAAATCTAAAGAGGAGGTATGTTTTGAACTCAGCTTAATTCAGCTGCACTCTGCCCTTCTACAGAGTAACCAGTTATTACATTCATGGGGCTGTTAACAGTAAAGCTTTGTGTAAAACGTGTCCTTTCACTATTTCTGGTAAACACTAAACACCCCTTATTAAGCTGAGGACTTTGGCTGGTTCTGTTGGCATCAAATTATTAAATGTTCATGTAAATAGTACATTAACACTTGATGATTAAACAAGTAACAAGGTATGCTATTGCCAAGCTAATCTTTTATTCCCTCTAAATTGTCGTTAATGCAGAGTGCTTTTTATATATCATCTCATGTCCAAAAAAACAACTGAATCTTTCCCTGAAATGCATTCATATTTTAAACATGCAGCATAATGTCCTATTGGTTCATGTTTATTTCCATAAGAAATTATAAATCCTCTCAAAATATGCAAATGACTCTTAATCATTTTGCCTAGGAAATGATGCAAGCCTTTGTGTCGAGGTAGAAATGGTGCTTTTTTTTGGACAGGAAAAAAATTAAGTATAAAGCTAGCCTACTGATTCATCATTGGCAGTTGCTACTGAGATGGCTGTTGTCATCACCATTTCATGCAGCCATTGGTGTCAGTGGAAACACCATTAATATATAAATATATACACATACACACACACACACACACACACACACACACACATATATATCCATTAGCTAGGCTTCCCTGGCAGCTCAGATGGTAAAGAATCTGCCTGCAATGTGGGAGACCTGGGTTCGATCCCTGGGTTGGGAAGATCCCCTGGAGAAGAGAAGGGCTACTCACTAAAGAGTTGGACACGACTAAGCAACTTTCACTTTCACACATCCATTAGCTCTTACTGATACATGAAAGGGAACCACCTATCTGAGAAGGCGTTCAAAGATAAGAAACCTCTCTTCAAGAATTTCGTGGAAAGACTCAGCTAAGAATGACGGTCTGAGCTTCAGTGTTTACTGTTTACGAGTCTACTACTATTACTCCTTCATGAGCAGTCAGTCAGTGTGACTGGGCAGGACGTGTTTATCGGTCTTGATGCTGCATGATTCTGTAAACTGGTAACACACCACAAAATGTGCTATTAGTGAATTTATTTCGCGATCTTACTGAGTCTTAGATGACTCAACTGACAGTTATGTGGAGACGTTACATTGAGCTCCTCCATCATCAGCATCACGCTTGCTGGCAGAGTGTGGGTAGTGTTTACAGACATTAAGGTTGAGGTTGGCTAATTAACAAGTAATAAAGTAAGCACACTATCAAGGTTGAGTACCTGAATGCTGATTAAAATGTCATCTGTGACTTGGTCCAGCACCGATTTTATCTCTTCAATGGTGAAACCAACTAACAGATCAGTTTCTGAAGTATCGGCTTCTGGCTGGGACTCTTCAGGGCCTTGTTCTTGATTCAACCCCTAGAATATTAAATGTAAACAACTCTCAAGTAATTTCTGGAGCCTTTACTGATTTATATGTAACCTCAGACTTCTCTTGGCTGCTTTCCTATCAGAAATGATGTCAATCTAGGTGGATTTTGATTTGATGCTTTCCTGCATTTTCATTATTAATGAGCATCATGACAGGTCAGTAAGCGGCACTTTTACCTACTCAGAGAAAATGAAGGTAGAGATTGGGGAAGGTGGAGCAGAAAATATTAAAATTGCTGAATCACCCTCAGTTGGTTCACCTGTGAATCAATGCCAAAAGAAACATTTATATTTAACTAGGAAAGATCAGAAGGAAAACAGAAGTGCATTTGGTTCTTTTTCTCCTACTAGAGAATATCATACTGAGACAGAGTGAAGTAAGAGACAAAAGGAAACATACCTTTATTTCCATATCCAATGGTGGAGGTGGCTCTGTGAATGTTGAGTAAATATCAAATGAGATCCCTTCTTCTAGAGGATCAGGGAAAGGGTGATCTGCTGGATTCACAACCTCTATCAATTGCTAGAGGGGAAGAGAAGAGCTGTATTATGACAAAAGCTCTGGTGAGTAACCACAATTTCAGCCAATATACATAAAGTTCCAAGTCTATTATTTTTTAAGTGCCATTGACTGAATTCTTGATGCCACAGATCTATTAGCTCTCGAGTGCTTTTTGTGCTCTGATAACTAGCATTTTACTTCCCCCACTGTCTTATTTTTCTATACTATGTAGTTTAGGACTTCATTTTATACTGCCTTGATCTTGAATTGTTCCATGGGTCGGTGTTCCCTTCCTCCTGCCTATAAGTTCTCTGGAGGCAGAGACCATGTTTTAGATTCTCTGTGCATCTTCTCCAGTTCTGGCAGAGGGTTTGATCTTAAAACACGCAATGACAGCCTGATGGTGATTGATACTACTCAGTAGAGTCTAGCTGTTCTTGCAGACAATGGTGAAATGGCCATGAGAACTTGGTGATGAGGATAATGAAGGTTCTAAAGGTTAATGTACAAAGTTAGCACAGAGTAACTTAGAAAGATGTGCAAAGTCAAGCAAAAATACTGAGGGCAAGGCAAGATGTCACTGAAAGCATTTAACAATTCTGTGGCAAGATAGTGCCAATCAGAGAAGGGTGATGGGTGGTCAACAGTGGAAATGAAGAAATGAGTCAAAGAAGTGTCCATCTCACCATGCCTTGAGGGAGAGAGCAGAGATGAGGGTACTGATGACATTAAACATCTGATGCATCTCAGTGGTTCCTCTTGCTTTGATTTCATGTTTAAAAGGCAACATTCTGATTATAATCTGACTTCTCATCCCAGTTGTTCTACAGATATGACTCAGTTGTTCTACAGTTGAGTGCTCTGATCTTCATGCCTATTACATTCCTCATTGTAAATCAATAAACCCATGTTCTGATTTATTCAGTAAGGTCCTAGGAGCTTGTTTTTATGGCTCTGAGATGAAGCTACCCACTGTATGCTGACAAAGTCTTAAGACTACGAGTTTTGGGACTTCCCTCAAGGCCCAGTGGTTGAGAATATGCCTTTTAAGGCAGCGGATGCTGCTTTGATCTCTGGTCAGGGAACTAAGATCCCATGTGTGTGTGTAGTGTGTGTGTGTGTGTGTGTGTATGTATAAGCACACACACGAGTTGTGTCTGACTCTTTGTGAGTCTATTGACTGTAGCCCACCAGACTTCTCTGTTCATGAAATTTTCCAGATAAGAATACTGGAGCAGGTTGCCATTTCCTACTCCAGGGGATCTTCCCAACCCAAGTATCGAACTCTTGTCTTGAGTCTCCTGCATTTGCAGGTGGATTTTTTGCCACTGTGCCACCTGGGAAGCCCAAGATCCTATGTGCTTAAGGGCAACAAAGCCCGTGTGCCACAACTACTGAACCCATGTACTCTGGAACCTGCTCATGACAACTAGAGAAGACTGAGTGTTGCAACTAAGACCAGATGCAGACAAAAAAACAAAATAAAGTGACTACAAGTTTTAAGACAATAATCTAGAAATGCCAAAACACCAAATAATTACTATCCCATGGGCCTGGAAAAACCCTGAATTTCTAACTGTTCCACATATTATAATACTTCATCTTTTACATACTAATACTTTTGATTTAACCCACTCCAGTACTCTTGCCTGGAAAATTCCATGGACGGAGGAGCCTGGTAGGCTGCAGTCCATGGGGTGGCTAAGAGTCGGACCCGACTGAGTGACTTCACTTTCACTTTTCACTTTCATGCATTGGAGAAGGAAATGGCAACCCACTCCAGTGTTCTTGCCTGGAGAATCCCAGGGACGGGGGAGCCTGGTGAATTGCCGTCTATGGGGTCACACAGAGTCGGACATGACTGAAGTGACTTAGCAGCAGCAACTTTTGATTTAGATAGGTTTTGGAATGAACTGAAGGCTAGGTTATTGCCTGGTCATACCAATATATTTTGCCTTGAATTTGTATTACTAATTTTAATTTGATCTTATAGGAAGTTGCTGCTTGGTATAAATATATATAAGGCCTGAAGTGTTACAACTTTACAGTCAAGGCAATTTGGAAATCAAGAGATTAAATGATTGGCTTAAGGTCAAATAATTACTTGGTGACAGGGCTAGGAGTTAAGCCCTGGTGTGCTGATTTTGTGGCCTATGCCTTTTTCAGTAAACTGTAATATGTCCTCATGTTGCCGCATTTGGAAGTTGCTGATATTATTAAGCACTTAATCTTTATTCTGTTAGATGACATCATTCCAGATTATTCATCCTAAATTGACCAAGATGACTAAATGTTAATAGAAATAGAAGATCGAAAAAGCTGTATCAGAATAATCTTTCTGTCTCTTCACATTAGGAAAATATTCTTTTTCTTAAATGGGACATCCAAGTATTTTCATCTCCTCACAAAATTATTTGTACATTTTTCAGCATGCTTGCTTTTTTATCCTCCTACACTTTATATTGCACTTTATTTTACTAAGCTAGAAAAGTGAAATAATTAAATATATTTTAGTGTCTTCTGAAACATTATAGATAAAATAAATAAGCTGTATATAGGAATCCAGAGACAAGGGAAGATAATGAGGTATTTACTTGGTTGACTAAAGGAGACTAAATTCACTAAAGCTGACTTTAATATAGGGTGAAGCTAGAAATTTGAGGGGAGTGGTAGTGAGTTAGACATTGAAAAAAAGAAGATAGAAAGGAATTGACTGGAATTTATTTGATTTGCCACAGGCACTGAGAAAGTAAGCAGGAGATAACCTGCAAGGTAAAAGTATTTTCTTTTAATGAAGGAGAATTTTATCTTGTTGCTTTTGCCATATCTGTCTTGCTGGTATAGTTTTCCATACACAGGCTAAGACTTTCTGCTAATTTTCTTTCCGTTTGGTGGAAGTCATCAATAGATCACATCTCCAACCTGGTAGTAGAGAATTCTACCATCTGCCCACCTGTATCCTTTCTTCCAACAAATTATACATTTAAATACTTAGAGCAAACAGATATTTGTGCTCACGGATCTTATTTTATTCCTTAAATCCCCTGTGGTCTGGATTTCTTTATAAAGTTTATCTGAGCTGCTTGCCAACTCCAACTCCTCTGTTTCGCTAGTCTTTGGCACTGGTGCATGTGTGTGCATGTGTATGTGTACTGGGCACCTACTTTGAAACTTGGAACTCCTCAGTTCCACATCATCGTTTCTTTGGTGGGGTGAAGCTCCTATTTATCCCAAGAACCTGAACCTCTGACTCAGAACTAGGCTTTCTTTTCCTTGATTTTTATGAGTGTAGCTCATACAGCTATTCATTTATTTGATTCATGTACAATAACTGGCAGTGAGGATTTCTTTACTTCAGGGTGTTTTGCATACTATCAATGAACCAAACCACAGCTATGTTTTTCTTTCACAAAGAGTCTATATTTGGTTACATTAGTAAGATACCATAAGGGAGAGAAATGTCCCAATTTCATATGAGGGTAAATGTAAAGTCATTTCATTAGTAATACAGAAGTACATTTTCAAATATATACTTGAAATAAACATAGTGCCCAGAAGCATCATAGTGATTTTTTTCCTCATTAAGTAGCCTTTTTAGAAAACAAGTTTAAGGAAAATTAGAATCAATAATTGTGGTAAGAGCACAGAGCCAGCAAATATGTTTAAATGAAACCGTCTGATGCAATACTTTCTTTAAAAAATACAATTAGGCCTTTGTATTTTTTTTTTTAACAAAACCTCATGTTTTACAACATCACTGGTTCTGTAATAAAATCTATTTAAAACAGAAAGACATGGTCAGCTTTATTAAGTTAGATTTTCTGAAAGAACGTTATAATTTCCTCAAGTCTATGAATAGCTGAAGCAAATTAAACTAGTTTTATAACTATTTTATATATTCCTCTAGAACTGTAATTGTCTCATATTTTTTCCCTCAAAAGTATAATATGTTACCTCTTAAATCTGAAAAATAAAAACAGAAAAGGGATAAAGTATGTTTATAAAAAAATACTCCTATTTGGTACTCTGGTTTAGCAACCCCCTCTTTTAGTCTAAAAGAGAATAGCACCCATAATCTTCAGATCAGAAAACAAAGAGAAAGACTTTAAGTGATTTGCCTGAGGCCTAACGCTGGGATTAAAAATCAGGAGTTTCTGATTATACACGTACATCATTTGACCAAATGATTGGTTTTGCCTGACTTTCAAATACCCCCTAAATATTACTTTGAATGTAAAGCAATAAATGTGTTTCTTTTGCCATTTTTGAATGCTTGCACACAAATGGCTATAATAAAAACAATCATGTTGTTCCATGTGAATGCCATTTATATTTTTTCTGATAATGAGCAGACCATTTGAACTAAGGTGAGTACATTAAAAGCTCTAATAAAGAAGAGAATAGATTTCTAAATAGAATAATGAACTGTTACGTGAACATACAATAAATAACATCTACAGATGTGGTCGCTAGAAAATTTGTTTTGCATAACTTACCAGTATACATTTCCCCCAGATGTTATCTGTTACATGAAAATTAACTTAAGTTGGCTATAGTGTTCATTAAGTGCACACTGCATTAGTGTTATTTAAGATGGTTTATAATCTGAGTTTAGTTGAATTGTGCCATGGTATTTAAAGAATATCAAGTAAATGGCTTTTGGCATAATTTATACTCATAAGTACAAAATTTCATCACCAAACATTATGCAGCTTTAAAAACATCCAAGATCTTTTCTTACAAGCCAAATGAAATCACTAGAAGTCGTTTAAGAATTTACATATTCAGTATGAAATGGACATTTACTACAGGAATAAATAATAGGGATTTTCAACCTCCTGGAACTCAGGACAGTCAGTTTAAGTCTAAAAAATACTTACAGGAATTAAAATCTGCTTCTAGATCTTTCTGTGTCTGAGAAGTATAAAGATCTTATCTGAAAATTGTGTTACTTCATGTTTTCTTTGTCTACTTTATGTGTTAACATTACTGGTAGCATTAACTCCAGTTTGTATTAACTCTAGTTTATTGTGTTTGTTACTTGTTTTCCTATTTTTGTTGTTTGTTTTTGCTTATTGTTATTTATTTAGTATAGTTTTTCTTTGGAAAAACTGTAGGTGATTTGTCACTAATGTTTGTATCACTGAAATCCATGATTAAGATGGCAATTATTAAATTCAGTTGTTAGTCAAAATATTAAAAATGCCATTGAAATGTCAATTTTCTATTGTTCTGAATGGCAAAAAACAAGAAAAATTCATTAAACTCTTTTTGAGCTACAGACACAAAAACACTGATATGCTTCAGACATTTTTTGGAATTGTCAAATGATGGCATCATAGGTAAACCAGAATTTACTACAAAATGTCAAAGTTTCAAAAAGAAAACTTCATGGTAAACTTCCCCAATACTAAGGAAAAAAGGCACAAAAAGTCCTATAATGTTTTAACTATTTTCTCCTCTTGAGAAAAAGCATTACTCATTTGCAAGTCTAATTAAGACGTATTGTGTCATTCTGGAAAATTTTGACACAAATTGTAACCCATTGCCCACAATATACAACACATAAAATACCAACACATGAATGCCACCTGCAAAACACAATCAACTCTGGTAATGTCATACTGAGGCCATAAATTTAAAGTGAAAAGAGAGGAAATTCAAAAGCTGAGATTATCGGAGAAACTTTAATTAATCCATTTCTAAAGTGTTTTTCTTTTGTGTTCAGGCCATTATAAATTTCTTAATATACCCTATAAATGTAGAATATCAATTCTGCTAGGAGTTCTCCTCCCCAGTTGCATTTTTGACTTGGAAGTAAATTCGCAAATGCAGCACATTAATTTTCTTTCCTATGCTTAATATGCAGTATTTACATTTTGAAAAGGTTCAAAATGTTGCCAGGCTTCTGCAGGGTATGAATAGACATCTAATAGCAACTTCTATTTTTATCCACAGCATACTGGTAGTTTGAACATTTATAACTTAATAGAACTCCGAGACCATCGGATTCACATGCTAATCACCTAAACAGTGAACGGTAACACAGTACCACAAGTTAGGACAGGAAATGAAGACTACCCAGTTCAGCTAAAGCTGCAAGGAGGAATTTAAGTTGGCAGGCACCAGTAAACCAGTTCGCAATCTGGCTAGGACACTCCAGTTAACACCTTGTGCCCACTTTATTTATATCTCTTGATTTGGTCTTGTTTAACTTGGGCTTAATTTTTTTTTAAGTTAGATAATTAAAGAAATTGATTCCAGGGTATTTTAGATATCTTTTGTATTTCTAAGTGTACTTCTGTTTAAGGCCAACCCTCTAATTTGAAAAGAAATCTGAGTACCCCATCTTGAGGACCTCAGACAACAAAATCCTCTCTAATGAATTTGAAAAAGAGTACCTTCTTATACTGTAAAGGCAATTTAAGAGGAAAAGATGTTTTGATCTGGCTCTGGTACAAACACTTCCTGAGGAATAGAACAGTCCTTCAGATACTCAGATATTTTCTATAGATGGCAATAATCTGGAAGATACAAAATTGAATTATAGGTTTTAGACTTGGTTCTATTCCTAATTGTGTGATGCTAAGAAATCCCTAGGCCTCAGTTTATTTATCTGTAAAAGGAAGATAATGATAATTGCTACCTGGCTAATTGTTTCAAGGCACAAATTAGATAATGTTGGTGAAAATGTTGGGAGTTCTTCAAAGGGAAACTGTTATTAAACCTGAAGGTGTATTATATTACTATCATTTATAATCACTGTTATTATGGAAAGGATCATCTTTCTCATGCCAGCACTGGAAGACAGATTAGAGTAGCCATGATGGGGATACTAGTCTATGCTATTTCTATATTTAATTGGAACATCACCCAAGCAATCCAATTAACTCAGAAGAATTTGTTAATGATGACATCCCATCACCCTGTTTCCATATAGTCTCAATTTTTAAAATACCAAACATATATCCAGTGCCCTTTTATTTGATGAATTCCTTGGACCCACCAACAACTTCTCTTTTGGGACTTAGCATGACACAATTAGGTAGGTATGTGGCTTGGTCAGGACTATGGCAAATCACCTTATTTAGAAAAGGAGAGTGTTTATGTTCAACTTTCAGAATTAGAAAATCTGCTTCTTTCCCCCACCCCCAATTTATCACTCTGTTTTTCATTTTCCAGTATCCAGTGTGGCTTGTGGTTTCTCAGATTGAGTTCAATTAAAAAGATTTCCTTTAACAAATTTTGTCAAAAGCAGAGTTAGGGCAAACTTTCAACATGTCTTTCTTGTGAAAATCAAAATACCAGAGCTCTTACAAATACGAAGTTCAACACTGTACTTCTGACTCTTGAATTGTCCTTATTGTGCAATTTCCTCAGGGTGAGAGACTGAAAATATGGTTAGTACCATTACAAATAATTAGAAAAAAACTAATTCTTTTCAAAAATATCTTTTAGAAGCCACTCACAGTGTATCTGTTTAGCTTACTAAGTTATACTCTAAAAAGCATATCACTGAACTCACTGCAAACTATTTCAAACAGCCCTGATGGTGGGTGAATTTTTGTTTGGTTTCATCTAGTATGTTCTATTTAAATTTGAGGTTTCTAGTACTTAAAAATGAGGAAATACTATAAATTACCTCTTGTTTTAAGAATTAGGAAATTAAGTATCAGTCAGAATAATAAGATGAGTTATGCAATTATCTTTGTGGAGAGCCTATTCTGAATTATGAAATATAAATTTAAAATTTTGATTTTATAAATGCGTTTTATTTATATTTTATGATAGCTTATATGAAGATAAAGCTATTTCATGGCTCTTATACTTTATTCCTTTTGAACAAGTATCTATAATTTGCAGACATTATGAGAGACTACACATCATAATGGTTAGGAGAGAAGCTACAGTGGAAGAATCCTAAGTCCTTGGTTCTAGACTTTGTCTCTTCATGGACTTTCTGTTATTTTCCCAGTTTAAGCTATCTGAGTAAAAGGAGGCTAAAACTATTTGGAGAAAGCTACATATGCAATTTACTTAACTTCAAAGTATATGGATTGAGCTACACTTCAGTCCCAAAGTCATCAGCTGGAAGAAAAAGAAAATCTTTAAAACTATATTGAAATTTATTTCACTTAGAAATATAAAGTTTTTTTGGGCTAAACTAGAATGTTTGTTAAGTGCTATGAAATCTTTACAAAAGTCAACAATATTATTTTTCCTGACCTCTTAGGCCCAAGTGTCTATTTTAAGTAATCTGACATTAAAAATGTGCTGACAAATATAGATTAAAAAACAACACAGGAAGTTGTAAATCAGTTGGTAACCCTTAGCATCAAGGAAATAAGAGACCATGAAAATATACTCATTTACTTTAGTCAACCTCAATCTTAATTTTTAACTTAAGAAAATTTGCAGAAGGCATAAAGTTTATATTTTGGATATTTTATTCATAGTTTATATGTTTCTTTTTTCTCCCGTGGGCTCACAAATTATTACAAGGAAACATGTTGTCATAGTTATAAATACTTCTCTCTCCGCTTAGCTCCCACCCCCTCCCTCCCCCTCCTTTTTAAAAATCTCAACTAATTCTTTAACTGTATTAGGTACTCTTTGGTCAGTGGGGCAGGATTTTCTTGCTTCAGAGGAAGTTGCTGTTGATTATTCTTATGTGCCTGGCATTCTTGAAACATGGCTCTTTCAGGAAGCACCCAAGCCCTTCCTTCAATGCAGGGCAGCCGCTTATTATGTACATGGGACAATTATTGTTTCAGAGACCTAAGAAGAGGCATGTCTTCCCTTGCAAGGAACAGCTCTAGGTATCGTAAAGTTTTGAGACTTTTCATGGAATCTGAATTCTTCGAAATTAACTACAAAACTGACTCTGTGGACAAACAGCAAGAGATTTTATCAAAAAGACCTTTTACCTATAAGTAATAAATCACTCTGGTTTAGTTAAAAAACTGAAGTAGCAGCAACTCTGAAAAAATCTGTTGCTGTTCAGTGGCTCAGTTGGGTCTGACTCTTTGCAAGCCCAAGGACTGTAGCACGCCAGGCTTCCCTGTCTTTTCACCATCTGAAAAATTTAGGTGGTATCTTTATTCCAGATTTGAATGTTTTAGAAATTTGGATTTTTTTCCCCCTTAAATGTGCAGTGGGAATCCTAGGTTGGCTCTGCCATTCAGTAGAGAGTTATGTCTGAGATGTGGTTTCTTTATTTGTAAAATTAGGGGGTTGAACTAGGTCATCTCTAGTCCAGTTACAGATGTTCTATCCTATGTTACTAAATTTCAAGTGGTTTTTTCTCTATTTATACAAGACTCACAGCCGTCAGCCTATACAGAGCCGCAGATTCAATATTTTTATGTCATGATGTAGAGGAATATTTGGATTACACACTTGGTGCTTACTGGAATAGACAGGCTGCGGCTTGTTCATTTATTTCTACTTATTTATCTTCTTCAAACCAGCTCCTCCTCCATTTGCTTTATCTCTTGATGGCATCACCAGCTTTTTGGTTGCCAGACTCAAAACCCAGAGGTTGTCTTCAGTACTTAACTCTCCTTTGTCCCTGATATTAAATCAGTCATAAAGCATATTGGGGGCACCTCAGTGATGTCTGCCAGACCCACTCCCTTCTTTCACACGACAATGCCCATTGGGAAGGCTTCAAATCCAAATTCCCGCCTTATAGATCTTGAGTACCTCCAGCCATACTGGAGTACCTGGCTTGCACAAAATACATACAGTGCCTAGCACACAGTGTTGCTGTTGTTCAGTCACTTAGTCGTGTCCGACTCTGCGACACCATGGACTGCAGCACACCAGGCTTTCCTGTCTCCTGGAGTTTGCTCAAACTCATGTCCATTGAAGCAGTGACACCTTTCAATCATTTCATCCTCTGTCGACCCCTTCTCCTCCTGCCCTCAATCTTTCCCAGCATCCAGGTCTTTTCCAATGAGTTGGCTCTTGCAACAGGTGGCCGAAATATTGTAGCTCTACCTTCAGCATCAGTCCTTTCAATGAATATTCAGGACTGATTTCGTTTAGGATTGACTAGTTTGATCTTCTTGCAGACCAAGGGACTCTCAAGAGTCTTCTCCAGCACCACAGTTTGAGGGGTGCTCAATAAATATTTTTTCATGTGAAAAATAAAAGCATAGATGGAGGTGCTTTCCTAACCAGTGTCTTGCCTGGGACGGTATTTCTCCCTCATCCCTGCCAGCTGATATTCCATTTGGCCTTCCAGGCTAGCTCAAATCACCTCAGTGACCTTTTTCTTGTGCTTCAGAATATTGCCTGCTCCTCTTGATAGTACTTGCTACACTGTGCCTTGAGTTACAACCATGGATGAGTGATCTCCCATCACTTTGTGGAGACTTCGTGAGGGTAGGAACCATGTCTCTGAGACGCCAGTTCAGGTTTCTGTACACAGGAGGCATTCATTAGGTGTTGAGTCTTCCATTACGGTAACCATCCATTACAACATTTTCAGGGATGCCAGTCTGTTTGATCAGTTTTGATTCAGTTTAAAAAGTTTGTCCTGAAAAATGATACCACTTGGACAAGCAGATCTAATGGTTCACTGTTACATCAGTGCAATGCCTGTATTTCTCAGTTATGAATGAAGTTTAGAGTATTCATTTGATTTGCACAATGAAAACAGCTTTTCAAAGACTTGACTTTATTGCTTAAACTGACTAATAGTTATCAGTCAGTATAGTTTAAAATTCTAAAGAATTCCTCAGAGATACTGTTCTCCCTACAGTTTTGGATGGGAGTACCATCAAAAAATTGCTAGACTTTCTGTTGCCTGACTATGGGGGCCATGATTCACATTGCTCTCCATGAGTTTTCCACTGGCAGCCCCCAACCCCAAAAACAATTTGAATGGTACCCACTGGAGTTGTGCCAGTGCTCACCATGACCAGGAAGCTGAACACTGATGATGAAAAAAGGCTGCTTTCATTTATGGGGAAACTTGCTCTAAGCTAGGCATTATAAATGACATTATAGAAAGCATATTACAAATATTAGGTCCTTCAATTCATACCATGATGTGAGGAGAGGTTTTACTGATCCCAATTTTGGAGGAAGAACCTAAAGTTCAGAGGTTAAGTAACTTGATCAAGGTCACACAGCTAGAGTATGTGGAATTTCCTCAGAACTTGAACCCAGATCTATTTGACTCCAAAGTCCATATACCCAATCCTTAGGGGCAAGTGAAACCCCTCTGCTTCTTTATGGATCCCCTAAAATCTTTCTGTCTGGTTCATGATCTTTCTCTTGAGTTTATAATGAGAAACTAGAGGTTCAGAAAAGTAAATGATATATGCACACTATTTAAATATCTGAAAATATAACTTCTCAGGGAATTCCAGAAAGAGAATTTGTTCACTGGTTCCTCACAGCGCCGCAGGGCATTGTTTCAGAATAAGCTAATGAAAGTAAGGCACAGAGGACTGAATTTGTTTTTAAAGATGGCA